TACAAAGACAAGGATCACATGTGTGCTGAATTTTCTGGATTAGACTCTGTGGTTTCAGGCTCTATGGTAATACAACCTGGGTAATAGATGATGTAAAGCACAGCAGAACCTCGAAGCCTCAGGCGCCCTCAGCTGCTATTAGCACTCAGCATTGACTGTCCCAAGACTCTTGCCCTGTGACTCAGTCTGTATTCTCGCTTTTTGCTGTTTTATTTTTCTCTAGTATTTTATTGTATTTTTGTTGGAAGCTTACACAGCAAATTAGGATCCCCATTAAGCATCTCTATACAGGATTCTCCATGGCATTGGGTACAGGTTGTGCAGTGTGTCCCCATTTTTCTTAGTTTCACTTGGTGGTTTCATTTCCATTCCTCTGGCTCCCCTGCTTCCCCCACCCCCACCTTCTCATCTTTGGTTTAATGTAAGTTGACCTTTGGTCTCCTTGATTTTTTTTTCCCCTTGATTTTTTAAAGAAGCACAATGCACAGGTGATACCGCTTATTTTATAGTCTAATCTGAGGGTCTCCCGATGTGGTTTCAGTAGAGTTTGAAGGGTACCTCAGGGTGATAGTTTGGGGGTTCTTCTGGTCCCTGGGTTCCCACACTTGGCTGATCATTGGAGTCAGTCACCTGGGATCTGGTGGAAACTACAGCTCCCGGGGCTCTAGTTGCAACCTAATGAGTTAAAATCTCTACAGGGAGGAGCTCAGGGATCAATCACTGTGTTTCTAATGATCACTCAGGTGATTCTAAAGATCAGCCAGGTGTGAGAACCTAGCTCTTATCAGTTCAGTAAGTTTGGTCTGTCTTAAGAATTTGAGTTTTGGTCTACATTTTTCTCCCATGTGCTCTGGGACCATATAGTGTGCTGGGTCAGAATAGTAAGTAGTGGTATGTAGCCTGACACCATCAGTTTTTCTGGTCTCAGGAGAGATGAGGCCCTGATGCTTGTGGGGGGACCCTCTTCTATCTTGTCGAGTCCTGAGCACTGGTTTCTTCCTTGAGTTTTTGGTTTCTATTAGTTTCTCAGCTACATGGCCACTTGTTTTTCTTCAAGCCTTTAAGCCCTCATGCGCTGTATCTTTTTATAGCCAGGCCCTATCATCGTTCTTCACCGCATATGCTTATGCATCCATTTATCTTCAGTGATTGTGTCAGGGAAGGTGAGGATCACAGAGTGCTGGGTTATTAGAACAAAGTGTTCTTGTGTTGAGGAAGTCCTTGAGTGGAAGCCCAATGTATATAAATATATATACATAGATCTATTTCCTTTTCCTTATATATAAATGTATTTACATATGTACATGCCTGTGTTTAGACCTCCTGGTGGTCTCTTGTGGTTCTTATATTTCCTTTTACTTTCCTCTTGTCCCACTGTCATGTTTGGTCTTCATTTGGGTTTTGGTAATTTCCTCTTGCCTATGCTGCACTTGATCAATCACCAGGCCTTCCTCACCATCGATTTTAGATTTCTTGTTCCCATGTCCCTGGGTTTTGTAGCACCCCCTTTGGTCCTGTTGTTTTTTCCTCGGGCATGCAGAGACAGTGTTAAGCACAAGAACAAGACAAAGTAAAACATAACAAAAGAAAACAACAAAACCAACAGCAAAAAAAAAAACAAAAAAGAAAAACCTATAAATACTTCTAGTTCTGTCTGTTGACCTTTAAGAGTGTTTTCCAGTAGAGTCTGATGGGGTGCCACACCCTGGCCCCAATGTCTATTTTTGGGATTCCTCAGGGACTTCATTGCTTTGTTCCCCTTGCTGCTATGTTGCACGCCCTTAGTGTGTCACCCCCATGTGGTGTGGTCAGAACGGGCACAGTTCTGTCTCCTGTGGAGCTGGCCGTATGGCCCTCTCCATGCATTGGCTACTCTGCATAGGATCTTTTTAGGCCATTTTAGTACCACTTACAATTTTGGTTCTTCTTTTAATGGCTAGGAACGGGATTTTCCAACAGAAACTGTTAAATTTGGTCCTGAACGCATGTATATTGATTGCTGGGTCAAAAAACATACCTATGACACCTTCAAGGAGGTTCTTGGCTCCGGGATGCAGTACCACTTGCAGGTAAGTGGGTGACCTGGTATCCTTTTTATAAATCTACTTTTAAAATTGGGAGCAATGTTGAATGCAATTAGCTCTTGAAAGTATTTAAATATCCAGAATGCTTTCAACTTCATATAAAGGAGTAAATTTCTTTTTGAAAGTTAAAATTGTTGAATGATTATGAAGCTTTTATTATATTGTATCAGAGTTTATGGAGTAGCTTTTATTTAAGCCTCAGCTATTGAAATTTTGTATAAATCGCATATTTATTTGGCATAGCTTCTTTGCATTCAAAGCATGGGTAAGCAAGTTTGATCTCATCTTTAGGAATATGAAATGTGGCCTAACTATTTCTTAGAGGTTCCGTGTAAGTTTTCTTAACCATATTCAGTTTATGTAGTAAAGAGCCGGTAATACTTAATACTGAGCCGTCTCTCATCTTTTGTCAGTCAAATGAATTTCTTCGCAATGTATTTGAACTGGGACCCCCAGTGATGCTGGATGCTGCAACTCTTAAAACGATGAAGATTTCTCGTTTTGAAAGGGTAGGTTTTGGTTTAACAAGACAAAACACTGATACGAAAGCCATATTTAATGTCATTTATGTAGGTAAAAACATAATATTTGATAAATTGTCTTAAATATGCATTTTTCATTACTAAATGTTTGATAAAGGAATATCCAGTAAAAACTTCTTTCATTTATTGACAAATATAACAAAATAGGAGCTTAGCTGATATTTCAGACATGAGACTTTTTGTATTCTATTTCACTAATAAGAATAAAAAAGAATGATGACCCAGTAAAAAAGCTAATATTTTACAGGAAGATATGTAGTGACACCAGTCTGTGTGTGGAGCTTTAGTTTTTCCTGAATCTCTTCACACGAGTACTGGCTACTGCTGCTTACCTATTTTTAATAAAATCTTTTTACCCCAAATCCTACACAATAAAATAGGAATTTTTATTTATTTATTCTGTGGTATGATTTTTGTTTTAAAAAGAAAAGACGGTGCTTTTTTTTAAATACCAGACACAGGCCCACTTTGTATAGTGGCCCTATAGGACAGGGGAGACTGCCCTGGTGAGTTTCTGAGACTGTCTCTCTTCACGGGAGTGTAAAGCCCGGTCTTTCTCCCTATAAAGTACCAGAATCATTTAATAAAAGAGGAAACTGAAATATGTGCTCCGAGTTTGAAACATTCAATACAAGCTACCATTATATGCTTGCCTGGCATTTTGAAAACCCTTCATTACATTTGCACACACACCTATACATACAGGTAGTCCCCCACTGCCATCCCCATTGAGGACAGGGCTTTTATTCTGCCAAAGTTTGTTCTGATGTAAGGTGGCAAATACCTCTGTTTGTGTTTATTATTACTGCGTTTTATCATCAGTAAATCTGATTTTTATATGCCTTTGAGGGTTGTGACATTATATGTAAACTCACCGAAAAGATAATAGAAGTTCCCCTTCATATGTCCACTATGTGTGTGATTTCTGAGTCCGAATTGACTGATGGCAAAGAGTTTTAGTTTATGTAGTGGACACTAAGATGTGAAAAAGATGATTGTTCAGTGAGGTTTGCTGTAATTCTAATATATTGCAAGTCTGGACTTAGCCATCTTATTAAGATAAAATCTCATGTACCCTAAAATTAGCCGTTTTTAACTGACTTGTGGCATTCAGTTTTTTCACCGTGTTTGCAGCCATCCCCTCTGCTTAGTCCCAGCAGTGCTCATCGGCTCAAGGAAGCCTGTGCCCGTGCCACAGTCCCACAGTCCCCTTCCGCCCCCAGGCTCTGAGCGTCTGTTTTCTTTCTGGCTCCAGCGTACCTGGTTTTATCTATCCATGCATCAGCTGGGGGAGGCTCGGAATGCTTTTACCTTTTGGCTACTATAAATAGTGCTGTAATGAGCATTCCTGTCCAAGTATCCGTTTGAATCCCTGTTTTCAAGTTTGGGGTAATACCTAGGACTGGAATTGCTGAATCATAAAATAACTCTGGTTTAGCTTTTGAGGAACCATCAAACTATTTTTCCCAGTGGCCAAATCATTGTACATACTTGCCCAAAATACACAAGGGTTACAATTTTTCCACAGTATCAACCAACACTTAAATTTTCCTTTAAAAAAAATTTTTTTTTCCCTTTAAAAAAAATTATAGCCCTCCAGATAATATGAAGAATGTGTTTAATTATGTTTATAAAAATATTTGTATTTAATATTTTTATGGGACAATAATTTATTCTTGGGTATTAATTTTTTAAATTAAAAATTTGTAATTGTTTTTCTCAAGGGTTTTTTGAAAATCATTTTATTGGGGGCTTGTACAATTCTTATCACAATCCATACATCCATTGTGTCATGCACATTTGTACATTTGTTGCCATCATCATTCTCAATACATTTGTTTAGTTATTTCTTGCAAGAAATCTTTGGCATGGAAATAGAGGGTGGTGGGAATAAGACTTTATGATATGTATGGCCAAGGTAGCTTCCAAAATGATTCTGTCATTTCTAATTTCTAGAAGTGAATGACGGCACATAACTATTACACAGGTTTGAAAATGGTTGGACTTTATAATTTAAATTTTTTAATAAATAGGCAGAAAAATGATGCCTTTCTGCTCTTTTTACCGACAACAGTTGGACTCCTCCCCTCCCCAGCATTGGATTATAATTTTTTTCTGCTATCAGATTATGTGCTTTTTCCTCTTGCTCACTTTTCTGGTTGCAATTTTCATGGTGGTTTACACATTTGATTCTTTTAATATGGAGTAATCATTGACTTTATGGTATAATTGTCTCACTCCTTTAGTGTATGTTGTCTGTGTGAACACATGTACTTTCTAAATGTTTTTATAGGGTCAAACGTGTTTTGTTTCTTGCCTTTGTGACCCTTCACCCCTCCCCTCCTATTTTATAAAGATTTGTAAGTCTTTTCTTGACCCATAATTGCCTTCTTTTTCTTCATTTCAGCATTTGTATAACTCTGCAGCCTTCAAAGCCCGAACAAAAGCTCGGAGCAAATGTCGAGATAAGAGAGCAGACGTTGGAGAATTCTTCTAGATTTTCAGCATTTGAAGACTACGTTCTGATTTTCAAATTTTTTTGTAATTTTTAATGTATTTAACATAAAAATGTAGGGAGTTTTTAATGGGGAGGATGTGTCCACATAGATAATATTTTTAGTCAGGGATTATATATTTATAATTTAATGTACAGTATTAAAAATGATGAGTTCTGATTATTGATTTTTTTCTGTAAATAGGAATGAAGTGTTTGTAATGTTTAGTCATACTCTACTTGTGAAGAGAGAAAGAATAGGGTTTTTCACTTGATTCATGATGAGAAAAACTTACACAAGGTTAAATATCTTATACTGTGGTTTCAAAAGTGTTGATTGGTTCTAATGATAAGTACAAGAAATAAACAGGATCTTCACAAACAACAATTCTTGATACAATTTTGGGGAGCTAATTCCTCTGGAAAAACTGATGATCTTTTTAATGTAAATCAGCTATTTCAGTTTTATCTCCCGGACGAGCCAATGGAATTGGCCGTATCACGAAACCCTAGCAGTTGTGCCTGAAAGGCTGTTCAGTCTGACTGTGGGCGTTCACGGTTACCGTGCGCCGGGAAGGTTGCTAACCCCGCACGTCAGAGGAGTGACACTGATTTCATCTGCTGTACTGTATCTTTTACACTGAAATAAAGGTCTTTTCATGCCAGACATGCATCTTTATTAGCAGAGAAGAAGTTTTGGTTTTAAGTATGGGATTCAGAGTGACCTAGCCTGGTGAAACATTTTAATTGTTTACTTGAGAAGATGAAGAAAATGTAGCAATATATAACTGTTGACATTAAGAAATATTGTTGCTTTGTTCCCGATAGGATTTTTTCTGGTTTTGTTTTAAGGAAAATAGGAAGCATGTTGATAGGACATGAAGATTTGTTGCCAAATCTTGGAAAACCATTAGATTAAAATTGCATAGCATAAGTAACACATGCTGTCTCGAACATCTAGAATTTTCATTGTTCCTTGTACTACGGAGAACAGTATTGTGAGGGCTGGGAAGCCTTCACACCATAGACAGAGATACCCAAATAACCTAGAGTACTTCATGCCAGCAAGTGTCCTTCCATTTCTTTGCGACATCCTAACGGCGGACTGGGAGGAGGAGGGGCATATAAGTCTGATGTGCCACCTAGTTGAAAATTATTAGCTGCTTAGTCCCCGCTGTTGATGGGAGTGTGAGTTCTAACCCTTAGATCGTGTCGTTAGGTGCCTTATGTACAACCGAACAAAACACTGCCCTTTCCTGACCATTGTTTGAGCCCATTGTTGCATCCCTGCATTTACCCATCTCATTGAGGGGCTCTCTCTCCACTCCTACTAAGCACAATGTCCTTTTCTCCAGGCCCTGGCTTCCAGATAGCATGTCCAAAGTATGTGAGATAAAGTCTCATGCCTCTAAGCGTTCCGGCTATTCGAAGAGCTCTCTGCCAGTGGTCCCTGGTATATGCAGCATGCCTAAGCAGCATGTGCCTTCATTCGAGTGCATCAGTTATTCGGCCCTACTCATTCTGTCGCATTCACATGCATGTGAGGCAATTGAAATCAGTATGGCTTGAGTTAGATGCACCTTAGTCCTCAGAAGAACATGCTTGAGAGGCCTTTTGCAGCAGAGTTGCCCAGTACAGAGCTTGAAATCTGGGCTGCTGTTCCGATGAGTTTTGACGGGAGTGTTCAATTGTTTTCTCTGCTTAACATATCTGTTGGTCCAGTTGTGGGGATTTTTATTTTCTTTATAGTGACATCCGTAATAAAGGGTTTAGAGTCTGATTTTCATCAGTGCGTCAAGCCCTTGTTTGTAGCAAGCAAGGTTGTGTGTGTTATTACAGGTGGTTTTCAACTGCTGAGCTCTGGGATTCCAACTTCCAGTTGCTTCTTGATTGCATGTTTGTTCACTTTCAGACTGAAGAACGTGGTAGAATTCGATTTCTTTTTCACTGCCTTTAGCGGTTGGTGTACAAATTTGAATAATAGGTGCATTAACTGAAGTTTTTAATATCCTATAACAACATTGTACTTCATGATTTTGAAATTGCTTCTTGACAATGAAAACAAAATTCCTCTTCAATTTTGTTATTTGCAGCACAGTCAAGTGCTGGTCTAATACACAACAGCCAGTATCAATCCATTTGGCTAATGCATGGGATACTGATTTATGTGTGTTTGATTTTAATTTCTGATGACTTCCAGTTTTCCTAGATTCATAGTTCATGCATTCCATGTTCCCAGTTACTAAAGGACATTGCAGCTGTTCTCATTTTAAGTCATGCTTCAGCGGCACGTGAAAGTCCAGAGAGCTTTACGCCATCTATGTAATTAAGTAGGTCAGCTATTTTGAGGCGGTAGCTCTTGCCCAGTCGGATCTTGAGTGCTTTAACCTGTATGGCTCACCTCAGCACTATACCAGGCGATGGTCCATGGCTCATAACATTTTAAAGAGGCCAATTCCTCAGGCGTGGACTTCCTGTTCCCTCTTCCAAGTCTGTCTGAGTCTAAAAACTCCTGGAACCTGTCCAACATGGGTGACCCTGTTGCTGCTTGAAATCGTGGTGACAGCTTCCAGCATCAGCGCCACAAGCAAGCCACAATCGTACTGACAAGTTGTATCCACTCAGCTATAGTGGAATGGAAATCGGATCTGGAATCTCTAATATGGGCTTCTATGTTCCCATGTCTTTCATACTGCAAATAGAACCATGAAAAAATTGTAAAGCATTAAACTAAAATTGTTTTCATGTCTGTATACATATTTCAAAATTTCTAATTAAAGCGTTATATACATAATTTACTTATGCTTTTAATGCTCACAAGATTTGTGATTTACATCCTCAGAATATGGTAGCAATGGGTCAGAATTGACTCAGTGGCAGTGGGTTTTCAGGCCTACTAAAGTTATGTTTCCATCCTCATTTTCATCCCAGGAAGCATTCAGGTCCTTTTTCTTACGCCCGGCATCTTGGGTTCAGGCTTCTGAGAAAATATGCTATATTGCTGTTTCTTAACTATTTCTAGGTATTTTGTCAAGCCTCATGTTTTGATAGGTATGAGCTACGTTTGTGTGGATTTCCTTTTCTTACCCAGGATAATTCTATATCATTTATTTCTTTCCTTAAATCACTGTACCTTACATTATCGACTGCTTGTGTCCTCAAATTGATGCTGACTTACAGAGACCTACAGAACTGCCGCTTCCCACCACCTTGTCCCTGGAGTTAATGATCTGCTTGGTTTTTGTACACATTTCTCATGATTTCCAAACAACCCCAAATCACTTGTAAGAGCCGCTTGTGGTTTTTACATGGTCAAAGCCTAGTGGGATACTTAGTCCTCCTCGGTCAAGGCTCTTTTTCGATCCAAGTATACAGTTGCTTTCCACCATCAGGAAAGCCTGGGATTTATTTTCTCTCACGTTTCCTGGTTGTAGTGCCTTCATTAGGAGCCCAGTGGCCTAGTCAGCCTACTAACCTCAAGGTCAGCAGCTCAAAACCACTAGCCATCTCTGCAGGAGAACATCTTGAAAACTCAGAGGGGTACTTCCACTCTCCCCTAAAGGGAAGTGTTGAGTCGGTAGAGTGCTTTCATTAGTTACTTGTTAAAGTGGAGGTCCATTATTTTGAGACTCTGAGCGGTAGTTTGGAATGGTATCAAATTCTAGAGAGGAAAATAAAGTTCAGACTATTGAAGGCATTGCTCCATTGTTTTCTAATTAGCAAAGTATTGTCAGATGTCTGGTACACATTTATTACGGATTTATTTAGTGCAGGGGTCCTCAAACTTTTTAAACGGGGCCAGTTCACTGCCCCTCAGACCTGTTGGAGGGCCTGACTATAGTTTAAAAAAAACATGAATAAATTCCAATGCATACTGCACATATCTTATTTTGAAGTGAATAAACAATGGGGCAAAAACACCCAGCCAGCCAGATAAATGTCCTCGGCGGCCCGCATGTGGCCCATGGGCCATAGTTTGAGAATGCCTGATTTTGTGGATTGTCCTCTGGAAGATCCTAGATTCTCTTTATCTCTGCTATTTCAAAATGGCAGGATTGTTTGACAAGGAGTAGGCATTATTTTCAGGATAAAGCTATAAATAGGCTTAATGTAAGGGGTTCAGGCATGGTGGGTTATACATTGGGGTGCTGACAGTTCAAATCTACCAGACAGTCCTGGAAAGAGGAGACTGTCTATCCTCAAAGTTGTACAGCCCCAGAAACCCTGTACAAGGGTCACTGATTCAGAGTCAACTAGAAGGCCATGATCTGGTTGGAGGCTTTTTTTTTTTTTTAATCATTTTATTGGGGGCTCATACGACTTTTCACAATCCATATATACATCCATTGTCTCAAGCACATTTGTACATTGGTTGCCATCAATTTTCAAAGCATTTTCTTTCTGCTTGAGCCCTTGGTATCAGTCCTCATTTTTCCCCTCCCTCCCTTCTTCCCTCCATCCCTCATAATTTATAAATTATTATTTTTTCATGTCTTGCACTGTCCGATGTCTCTCTTTACCCCCTTGTCTGTTGTCCATTCCCCTGGGAGGGGGTTATATGTAGATCATTGTAATCGGTTGCCCCTTTCTCCCCCACCTTCCCCTTAACTTGGTGTGGCTACTCAATATTGGTCCTGAGGGGTTTATCTGTCCTATATTCCCTGTGTTTCCAGCTCTTATCTTTACTCATGTACATGCTCTGGTCTAACCAGATTTGTAAGGTAGAATTAGGGTCATGATAGTGGGGAGGAGGAAGCATTGAAGAACCAGAGGAAAGTTGTCTATATTTCATCGGTGCTGTATTGCACCCTGACTGCCCAGTCTTCTCCCCACAACCCTTCTGTAAGGGGATATCCAATGGCTTACAGATCGACTTTGGGCCTCCACTCTGCATTCCCCTCTCCTCCCCCATTCACATTATGATTTTTTTTGCTCTGGGTCTTTGATGCCTGATACCTGATCACATTGCCACCTCATGATCACACAGGCTGGTGTACTTCTTCTATGTGGGCTTTGTTGTTTCTCAGCTAGATGGCCACTTGTTTATCTTCAATCCTTTAAGAAACCCAGACACTATATCTTTTGATAGCCAGGCACCATCAGCTTTCTTCACCATATTTGCTTATGCACCCTCTTTGTCTTCAGCGATCGTGTCAGGAAGGTGAGCATCTCAGAGTGCTGGATTATTAGAACAAGTGTTCTTGTGTTGAGGAAGTACTTGAGTAGAGGCCCAATGTCCATCTGCTTCCTTAATACTAAATCTATAAATATATGTACATAGATCTATTTCCCCATCATATAAAAATATATTTATATATGTACATGCTTGTATTTCAACCGCTATAAATGCCCTTTGCCTCCTACTTCTTTCCTTTTACTTTCCTCTTGTTCCGTGGCTCATCTTTAACTTTCTTGCTTCATCCAGAGTGACTTTTTTGCCCTCATTGTCTTAAGATGTACACAGTATTTGAGTATGGCAGGATAAGGCTTTCCTAACCAGATTTTTAAGTTTGAGGATCTTGAGAGATAGACTTCATTTACAGCATTGAGCCTGTTTTATTTTTTCCTTCCTTTTCTTTCTAGAATATTTCCCAAACACAATTCCAATGTTTCTCCTGTATTTTATTTTGGCTCCTATTACATTTGCTCCACTTTTCACGGCTGCCTCCCAGGTCCCGAGTCTGAATTCCACAAGCACCATCAGCACCTTCATCATGGGGAGTCCTGCAGGTAGGGCTGGTACAGGAGTGGGATCTTTCTTAGTGTGGTTCCCTCCTGTTTTAATTCTTGTGCTTTTGCAATGCTTACTTCTGTCTTTTTACTTGGGTGCTTGGAGGGAGAAAAGATAAATAGACAACTCTAGAATTGGCACATAGTAAGTTTATTGATGGTTGAAATCAGTGGGGAATTGCTAGACAAGGCTTATAGGGGACTCTATTAAGAATGCTTGAGCTATTTTTAAAAGTTGTGAATAGTGTGTGCTAGACCAGTTGTTTCTTGCTTGATCCTTTGCTAATCTCACTGGTTAAGGAATTTTCAATGGTCCCTGCCTAGTTATTTTGAGGCTCAAGCATTGGTTTTGAAGCAACCAACATCTGCGACTCCCGTCTGACAGCATTTAGTGAGTTTTCTGGTAGCTGGATCCAGATAAAATGAGATACTTGCGTATGTAAGAGATACTGGAAAATATCCCTGGGCAGTAAGATTACAGGAGAAAAGAATCCGTAGTAAATGCCAAAGAATGAGACATTTCTTTACCACGTATAGATTTTATTAATGGGGTATTTAAAAAAAAATAAAATTGACCATGACAATTACGAGCTAGCACAGGTATTTTCACTTTACAGAGTACTTTGGCAGAGCTCCTTAATGTATCATGGACTTCAGAGAAAACAGCACTTACTTTGTCTTCCTGCATGCCTCGGTCTTTGGGTACCAATGAGGCTTAAGAAAAGGGCATTCTTTTTCCCCTAAAGCACAATAAGGTCCGCACTGAATGGCAATGTAAAGGGGATGTGAGGCAAACATCTAACTGATGAGAAAAATATGCCAAAGATGAGCCATGCCCATTTAGTCATGGTGGTTGCCTGGGAGGACGCTAAAAGGCTGCATCTCAGTTTACAGCCCCAACCCTGGACGTCCTGCTGGCACAAGTGGTCCCAGCGCCCCCGGATCCCAGGCTGGTGGGATTCCAGATGATCTTCACCCTGTAGATTCCCTTGCGTACACCAGAGGGCAGGAGCTCCCTGCTGTGTGCTCCGGGAACCACCCAGGAGAAAGATGGTGGTTTTGCGAGAGGAGAGCAGTCCCAATCCTCACAGAAGGAAAGCCTTTGAGAAGGAAGTTGGTGAGAACAGAGCACTTCTGAGCTGCAGCCACGCCATCTCCCCACTCACAGGCAGAAGCTCCGAGACACCGCTGGGCATGGCGGACATCTAATTGGGATGTCACTACCTCTCACTCTGTCTCTGTTGACTGCTGTTTCGTGCTTGTTCGCTGGAGTCCCGGGCAAGTTAGTTGCGGGGGCAGTTCCAGGCGGCTTCTGCCTGTTTGTTGCCATGGGATTGATTGGTGCCCAGCGTGTGACGGGCTATTTATATATGGGAGTATAGGATGGCAGAATGACTGGGAAAGAGGAGTCACCTTACACAGTAGCTTTAGCCAAATAAAGGCATGAATCCAGTCCAATGAACTTCATTCGTTACCAACTGAATCTGAGCGTGAGGTTTTTTTTAAAACCGTAGTTGCAGTTTTCACTAAACAACTTTTTAAGTAATACCTTATTACTTAAAAAAATTCGTGTTTGAAATCTTATTCTGCTTGGCGAAAATGAACACTAAATATAGACCAAGGGTTTCACGGTCCTTACAGGAGCACTGGTGCGCTGAAGGAAGGCAGGCAGTTTTCTGGTAGTTGTTCCTGAGCAGTTAGGGGTCTTTTTTTTTTAGTTCCTGGTAACCCTAGCAGTCAAAGTTCACATGTTTGTAAGTAATTTGCATGCTCTGAGACTGGTTGTCAAGGTTGGAAAGTTTTTGTTGCATGTGCTCCGTGCTTTTACCCTTGGATAGAAATTATTCAGACTTGGTTGGGAAATTACTTTCTGAACGTGAAGAGGTGCTGACTTTGAAACGCAATCAAAGAACAAATGACCATGATTCACTCAGCAAAGCTTCCTATTTGTTTTGGCTTAAGCTCTTTTATACAAAGGACTGTTTGGGGGCAAGCAATACTGGTGAGTTATTTCTGTGATTTGATACCAAGTCCCGGTGGGCGGTGGGGGGTGGGGTGGGGGGGAATAAAGGGCAAAGCAATTTTTCCCAGGCAGCTGTCTTTACTTGTCAAAATATTTACTAAGAGGTAGGCAAGGAGTTCTTAAACGACCCAAAGAATCGGTTGTTAGCATTGATCTAAACAGGAGGAACATGAAATCACTTACATATATCAGATCAAAGTACTAGAGAGGGTTCTGCTGAGAGCGTGCTGTTTCGGTCAGTCTTAGCGAATGAACAGATGGAGTGGGTGGGAGGGGCGAAGAGGGGTGATACAGAACTGCTACCAACACTGGCTTCTCCAGCCGGGCGAGCCGCTCCCAGATGTCCTCAGATGGGGGTGCCAAAGATAGTCACAGCTGGGTGTCTGACGGCCGTGGGTCTGAGTTTAGGACCGTGTGATCTTGTATCCTTTAGCAGCAGAGGTATTTGCAGGCTCTTGGTGGTCCCTGGGATTGCCGTGGGATTACAGCCAATTCCCTTTTCTCTGTTAGGTCTTTATTTTCCATCGGCTGGTTGCTGTGGTTCTTTAAAAACCGTATTGGAAGGGCATCTTTTCACTCTGTGACTTCACACCCTGGAAGAGATTGTCTTTCAGACAGAATCTGGGGCTTGCTCTAGGTCGGCTGCGGTTGAACTTCTTTTGAGTTTGGTGGGCCATCGGGTCACCTTTTGAGTAGGTAGCAAGGGGAGTGGTTAGGAGATTTTATTAGCTGCGTTGCTCCTCAGGCAGCTTCCGAAGCTGAGTTTCCTTGCTCGTCCTCTCCTTTGGAAACAGCGACGAAGCCTCAGTACAAGATGTAAGCCATAGTAGTGTTCTGAAAGGTGAGCCAGGCTCAACAGTATGAAGTCAGAGATTCAAACGTGAACCGTACCACAGTCACCAGCCTAAAATAGAAGCCGAGTTTGGCATCCTATCCCAGCATGTGACATCTACAACCTGGCTCCTTGGTCAGATAGTAGTATTTAGGATAATAAAGTACAAAGAGAGGATGAAATACAACATACACGGAGAAGAAGACCATAGAAACCTGTGGTAATACTTTTGAGTCATGGCTTTATTTGCAGATCGTAAGATCGGATTGATCTCTAAGCCCATTTCATGTGCTGCCTCCCCTTTTTATTTGGTCATTTCCAGTGATTCCTTCAGAAACTCTTTACGAAGTGCATTTGGGATCCAGTAATATCATCATGTCAAAGGATATAGTAGGAGCTTATCTCAAATACTCAGAGAACTGTGTACTCTTGTAAATCGAATTTCAGGATAACAGAAATATGCCTCCTTTCATTTGAACTCTGATTGGGGGGGAAATTAGTTGGTCTCTGCCTTTGCTCTCTCTCACTCATTGTAGTTAGGGTTCTGGGATTGTTCTTTTAGAAGCAGCAATGGGTTTTGGAGGAGGCCGGGGGTTACGTATTGGGCTACTAGCCACAGGGTCAGCAGTTCGGAGCCAAGGAGCTGCTCCTCAGGATAAAGATGAGGTTTTTTACCCCCGTAGAGTTGCAGTCTCAGAAACCTACAGGGGCAGTTCTACTGTGTCCTACAGGGTCACTACGAGTCATAATTTGTGATGGGTTTTGGATACTGTTGTGAAATGGATAGTTTTTCATTTTAGATTGCCGTCCAAACTTCAGTAAAATGACTGCCCCCCC